TTGGCCTCATGAAGAAGACATGTGGCCCTGTGCATAAACATTGCCCTGAAGAGGTCTGAGCCCAGTGAAGAAGAGATGTGGACCTGGGCCTTTTCGCATAACAGGAGGAGGCCTGGGCTCAAGAAAGAAGAGATGTAGGCCTAGGACTAAACCTTACCCTGAAGAGATCTGGGCCCAATGAAGAATAGATGTTAGTTTGGGAAAAATCTTTACCAAGAAGAGGCCTGCTCCCACAGAGGAAGTGATGTGGGCATGGGCTTCAACTTTACCTGCAGAGAGATCTGGGAAAAATGAAGAGGACATGTGGCCTTGAGAGAAAAATCATACCATGGAGAGGCCAGAACTATAATAAAGAAAAGATGTGTGCCTGGACCTAACACTTGTGCAGAAGAAGCCTGGTCTCAGTGAAAAACGTGGAGGCCTGGGCCAAAAACTTGTGTTGAAAACCCAGGAAACAAAACATGACCTTCAACAAGTGTGCGATATACCAAGAGAACAATCCAGGTAGACTTGACAGAAAGGGTATGTGGGCTGCAGCTATGAAGCCCCTAGTGCACTGCTGTCTACAGTAGACCTGGGACAAGTAACTGTGTTCCTCTAGGCCAACACCACAGCCTCAGGACAGAGGAACCAACAAAACGACCAGAAATGATACTCTGCTATGGGACATCACCATCACAAAATGCCAGACTGTGTTCCAGTCCTTCATCTCCTGACACCTCAGGTTCCCCATCCCTCACTGATTTTGTCCCTCAACTTGAACTGAGGAGAAACATCAAGTTACCGGGTAGGTTAAGAACGCCGAGATCAGTGGTACAGACAAAATTTGAAGAAAGCCGGGCAAGGCAAAACCCGGAACTTACTCATCTGGGGGCCTTTAGGGGACATGTGTGATGTCCAGACAAGTGTTCCTAGCCTTTCTGCACTGCTCCCAGGACACAACCTAGAAGAACCCAGAAGAGATGTGTGCCTAGGCTATCCCCAGTGTACCAAGACCTCTTTAAAAATACAGAATGAGAGAAGTCTGGGACAATAGAATCAAACAGAATGTGCCCAGGGTATGTCAAACACCAGCCATATCCTGGTTGCAGGACAAAATGAGCCCTGGGATTCGGCTGATTCCCAAAAAAAAGATGATGCCAGGGTAGGAAAGAAGACCTGAAAAGGGTCCAGAAGGAAACAAGAAAAGGCCTGTGCCTGGATAAATCCTGACTCTCAGGAAGTAGGCCAGTCCAAAATGCTACCATACACTTAGCCCAGATTCAACCTCACCCAATGAGTCTGAGACACATACAAAGATGAGATGACAGGCCAAAACTGAACTGAATCAACTTCATGTATACACTTTGTACCCTGAGGCACTCTGATCCAAGACCTAGCTTTCCATTCTTTTGCAACCATCCAATACATCAATGCACCTTGTTCATCCATAATCGTGTCCTCGACTCCAATCCACCCCGACTGACTCCTAACTAAAGCCGACATCATGAACAGTACGTGTGTCGGGCACACACACATATACTTCACTTGACACAGACCGAATCCTCAACACTTTTCAGCCAGGAGGAACCATGGCTGTGATGTGCCAAAGGCACAAAGAACTGACCTACCCAAATGAACTCACAACACCAAAAGGATGTGTGTCGTTCTGTGCCCTGTCGCCATCTGACACAAGAACTTACCTTGACTTCTAATGATCTGAAACTTAGTGCTTAAGGAACAAACAGCTCTCAATTGCAACGCAGAATGTGCTCTAAAAAACTGTGGGCATGCCGGGCGGTGGTGGCACACGCCTTTAATCCCAGCACTCGGGAGGCAGAGGCAGGCGGATTTCTGTGAGTTCGAGGCTGGGCTGGACCGATAGATAGCCTCCAAAGCAATGCAGAGAAACCCTGTCTCGTAAAAACAAAAACAAAAACCAAAACCAAAACAAACAAAAAAAAAAAAAACAAGACAAAACTGTGGGCACACTCAAATTTGGTCCAGTTCTGAGGAACTGACATCTGGACAGATTACATCCTCCAAGATCCAGATCTTGATGATGACCTCATTATTAACCTAATGTAGAAGACCCTCAACAGACCTGAAGGAAAACCTGGCAACTCCTGAATGCCAAGTAGCCTGGACTCATAGGATCCTCAAGGGTGTGTGGGCCGCACTCTCTCCCTATGCAGCCCAGGACAAGAATCCCACCCCAAAGAAGGCAAGCCCTAAAGGGACCAAACATCCACTTAGTGATCAAATGAAGTTCACACTCCAAAGGCTATGACCTGCTCTGCAGCCAGACATTATCTTCATGCCCATTGAATTTGGTGGCCACATGATGGCCTCATGTGTGACCCAGGCCATGCCAACATCACCAACATGATTGGAATCATCACCAGTAATGACATCTTATCCTAAGCTGTGAACTGCGGTCAATAAGGAGCAGTGTGTAGTACCCGTGATTGTCCCAACACAGGAGAAATTCCCACACACACGCACATAAGCGTGTCCAGCAACGCCGTGACTTTCAAGGAATCTGGACCACACACGAATGTCAAAGGATGGGGACACAGCTTGGGAAGAAGGGTGTGTGAGCCACACCCATGAAAGACTCTGTGTCCAGGTAAGGAATAACACTTTGACATTGCTTCAGACATACTGACCTAGTGACCGACTGACCTCCAGACTGCTTCAGCGTGGCTCTCCACACTATAATACCGTGAGGTGGTCTGTCTGAAGAAGGAAACAGGGGCAAAGGCCATAAACTGACATCAGTGGGGCCCTGTTGTCTCCCTGATTCCCAGTTTGCTGGGTCAAGCATGAGTTCAAGGGTGTGTGGGCCGCATCCTTTCTCTATAAAATCCAGGACTTTGCTCACAGGACGGGAGCCAGGACCATAAACCATGGCTTTCAAGGGGACAAGGACCCACTCCCTTAATGATCACTAACATGCCTTCATGTCAAGAATGATTGCATGGAACATGGCCCTGTGGAGACTTCACCTGATTCTTATCTGAACATTGACTCTGCTCACAAAACATTCCAAATACCAGAAAGGAGGCTTCCTTAGCCGATGGCTGACCCCGTATCAATGACAATGTGAGCTGTGACTCTCAATCACCTAAAATGCCTGGGTCAAATTGAAATTCAAGGGTTATGGGCCGCAAGCTCTCCTCATCAAATGGAGGAGATGTGCTTACTGTGGAGGACCCAGGAGCACGAAACATGACCTTCGACGTGTATGGGACACACCAGGGAAGCAATCCAGGCACATTTGGCAAGAAGGGTGTGTGGGCCGCACCGGGAGCCCTCGTGAGCACTGGTGTCCACAATAGATCTTGGACAAGTGACTTTGTTCTTCTTGGCCAACACCACATTCTCAGAGGAGACGGGAACCACCACAACGTCCAGAGTTGATGCTCTGCTACGGGACGTCACCCTCACAAAATGACAGACTCTGTTCCAGTCCTTCATCTCCTTAAACTCAGGTTCCCCACCCATCCATTGACTTTCGCCGTCACCTAACTTGAGCTGATAAATCAAGAACTTTTTCCTTTAAGAAGGCCATGACCCTGGATTACAGACAACACTGTTATAACACTGTGAAATAGAAGACTCTAATCTTGTTCCATGGGACTCATTTTAGTAGCATGTTCAAAGAAAACACACGCATTCCTTGGTTCCTCATACTCTCACATATGCCTGACAAGTAGATACAGAATTCTATCCTGATTTATGTATACTCTTGTAGTCATCAGTAATCAGTCTACTGTACATGTCTTACTCTAACATTCATATATAATTTTCATTAAATTTAATATCATCCATCATGATTCATCCTGAAATGTGTTTTGGCCCTTTTACTATGTTTCTAACACTGAACTATTTTTTAACAGAATTTGATTGTTGCTCACGAACAGAAAATAAATAGCTCCATGTACACTGCTAATATCTATATGGTCAGACCTCATCATGAAGGTCAGTGGACCTCTGTCTACGGTTTCTATCGTTGGCCCTTTGTTGAAGTCTTTTAAACACAAAATAAAAAGATATTGAAATGGACAGGTCCTTACAAGCTATTATCTAGTGGTCAATCACTGGGATAAAATATCTTATTGGAGGGACTCTACCCAAGCACATCAAGTGAGAAAATCTGATTAGAGTTGGTGATGAATTGTGGGAGGCAGGAGACAAATAGATGGTTCAGTGTGGATTACAATGTATACTAGGCATCTGGAAACTGTCTTCCAGTGAGACTCCATGTGGGGAAGATTGTCCCCCACTGATATCCTATGCTTGGAGCCACAACATACTCATGTACAGATTCATGACAAGGGAGCAGTAACACATGCTGTGCTCATTCAATTAAAGGTACTAGAGGCTGACAACTTGCAACTCTGTCCTTGCCCTATTTTTCCTGGAACTTACAGGTTGCTGATTTGTAGGTGTGTTAATATTATTCCTAGTAGCCACAGGGTATTTGTCTCAGAAAATGGCATGGAAACTATACCTATGAAGCCACAATACATGGAAGCCAATATGAGACAGAATCAAGGACAATACCACCAGACATGGTTGTGAATGGGGGACATCTCCTGGGGATACTTCTCAAGACAAAGAGCTATAGGCAACTAAGCATTGCCAATAGAGGCGGAATTAGTTATGCCTAGTGATGAGTCCTTTACATGGTGGTCCAGTACATAGTATTCAGACCAAAAAAAAAACATATACACACAAGTATCACTGAATAGGCACAGCCTTTGGTAGGCAAACATTTAACACTTTTCTTATAAAATGTATCAATAATAAAATCTGCCATGAATTTCAGAGATGGAGAGAGAAGGAAAATGGTAAGATTCAGAGATATAAGGATAGTACCTATTATTTGACTTTAATTTTATAAATTATAAATAAAATTTTAGGGCCTGTTTCACAGAAGACTTCCATTGAGTTAAATACTCAGCATTATAATATTCATCCAGTAAGACTCACTTGCTGGGTTTGTGTTATATTTCAACACTATTGTCTCCACAACTAGAACTCTTTTCTCTCAAGGAGACATGACCTGATTGGGTCATTGTTGGTTCTCTGGTGACAGAGAGAGTTACCTTGAGACTTTAAATCAACTGTCATGTCAAAATGTAATTCTCTATTTTATTCTACAACACCATGCTACTCACACATTTCCCCAGGCCCATCTCTTATAAAGAACCAATCTTTATGATGCTGCCTTCATCTGGAAGGAAACAAAAGAAAGAGGGCATGACAAGCCTGCTCAACATCTCACTGAGAGAAGTACACTGTCTGCCTTTGTTACAGATTTATACACTATCTGATTGTCAGCTGCCAGAAAGCAAGGAATTATCCTATAATTATTACTTTACTTTCTCACTTAGATTTAGATATACACTCAACTATCTGTCACACCTCAAATGCACATATAAAGCTTTTCTATAGTCTATATAAATATTAACACTTAATATTTTTGCCAGTAGTATGGATGGCTGGACTTTATTAGGTATAAAGCTTTTGAGATGTATTTAATATACTATGGAAATACTAATGAAATAAGAGGCTCTATGTACATCAAGAATTGGTTTATATTCTTGAATATTAAGTTCCATGCAGAACCTTGAGTGTCCAAATCACACGATAATTCTTCATAAGTGGTTCAGAACACCGAACTCTTCATTTAATCATTATTTGTCAATATTAATTATCTGGTTTCATATTTGAGACCAGGTATTGCTACATAGGGAGTCCAGGCCTTGAACTGACATCACTCCTCCTTTCTCTGTCCCTCAAGTAATGACATTCAGGGACCCCCATCCTAGCTCAGTTAGAGACACAGCTACAGATGGAAGCACATTCACACACAAGGCTTGAAATCTTCACACCTGACCTCCTCATGGAGAAAGGAGAAAGGATCTCCAGTGACAAGGAAGGTCAAGAGTAAGTGCACTGCACAAAATCCATGGGGACAATGGCTTCTGTCTATCTACCTAAGAGACACACTGAAGACATCACTCTAGGAGAATGTCAGACAGCAAGGATATTCACCATGATTTCATATAAAAACCAATGCAAATTAACACCTTATATGGTTCTACCTTATACAGTAAACAGCCTTTAAAATCATTTTGTAAAACTCTTCTTTTTAACCTATATTTTCAGGAACTATACTGATTCTACAAGAAAGGGTGGCCTCTACTTGTAACTTTGTAAAACTCATCACTGAGGGCATATGGCTGCCTATTGGGACACTGTAGTGTTGGCTTTCTGCTCTTACTGTGTCAAGGAGATTTCACCCGAATATATCCAGCTATCAAGAGCCACACATTAGTGCTGAACTGTAATGTTCTGTCCTGTATGGACCAGAAAGAAGACAGAAGTAATAATGAATCTTCTTATAACTAAGTAAGTGACCCCAAGACTTTCCATTTCCTCATGTTTCATTTCGGTCCCAGGAACTTTATAGTTAAGGTATTTAACTCCCCACATAGAAAGAAAATGAAAAGTTAATTACCTTTCCCCAGCTATGATGAAACATTTGTCAAAGGCCTCTTTGAGAGCCACAAGGCAATAGTTCACATTTCCTATGGGAAAAATGATTGAAGAGACTAAATGAATGAACTGAGTCCCACCCAGCACCTGGCTCTGCAGTCAAAATCATCTAGTCCAATCCATACAGTGACTGCTACTTCCAATGAACAATGAGCAGAATTCAGTGACAGTGACTTTCTCATACCTTACAAGATAAAAGCTTTCCTGAGAATTTGAGCAGCAAAATAATGAAATGAACATATAAATAACACATTTCAATTCATTCTTTGAAAATTTTCATACATGAATACATTGTATTTTGATGAAGTTCCCCTCCATTTCTCCCAAATCCTCCCCGATCTTGAACTCAAGCACCCCAACTTGGTGATGTCTATTGTTCAATGACCTACCTAGGCCAACATTTCATGCCCATATTTTCATGGGTGTCAAGCCTTCCATCACCTTTCCTTATCCAACCCAACAACAGCATACTAAAGAAAACCAACTCTTCCTCCTGTAGAAGCTATACACTGTCAACAGTGTCTCAGTTAGGAGAGGAGCCATTGAGCTCCTTTCTCTTCCATGATAGAGTCCTGACTGACTTGATCTGAGAGTTTCTAAGTACAGCAGTACAACCATGTACAGAAAACACTGATTTATTACAAACATGTTTGCCCTCTGTATCTTCAGCTTTTTCCAACCCTACTCCAGAATGGTCTCTGAGACTAGGAGGAAGGAATAATATAAATTTCACATATATGCCTGAGAACTGCACAGAGACTATCTACATTTAGATAATTTCCAGTGTGAAACACAGTTTCCTGCACTAAGAAACTTCTCTGATGAGGTCTGAGAGCTCACCAACCTTTGAGTATAGAGATGTAAATTAAAAGAACAGTTTGATATGACCATTTAGTAAAGTAATTGTGATAGATTCAGACCCTGTGAGTTTGCCAGTCTACCAACACCTGCCTAGCTGTGGATATATGGAGGTCAACATATCATACTCTGGAGCACACACACTGATCTACAAGATACTTCAAAAACACAAAATTTGCCCCCTGGCCTCCTGCCTCCTTCATTTACAGGCTCAGCTGTTTCCAAAACGGACAGGGCACACTGAGGACCGAGGCACACTGATAGTCATCCTCAGTTTCGTGCCCACCTTTGTATTCTGTGGTCTCATTTTCCTATCTTACTCCATTTCCAGCAGACCACAAAGGTCTTCTCCAACTTTCTTCCCCCAACTCATCCCATTATCCCAACCTCCAACACCAGCAGGATTACGCTGGGAACACACCAGCTGAGTAAAACAGGGAAACAGGTCAACAGAAATTTTCCTACCTGGCAAAAACAACCATTACTCTCTCCTTGGAAGACACAGAAAACAAGAATAGTCAGACAGTGGTGACTCAAACCTTTAATTCCAGCACTCAGAAGGTAGAAACGGGCAAATGTCTGTGAGTTCAAGGCCGGCCTGGTCTACAGAGCTTGTTCCAGGACAGCCAGGGCTACATAAAGAAACCATGTCTCAGGGAGAAAAAAGAAAAGGAAAAAAGAAACCAAAGAAACACGTACCCAACAGAGACAAAACCAGATATTATCACCCAGATCTACAATCATCTCAATCCCAGATGCCTAGCATCTCTGTAAAAACATACTCAGAGGCCAGCTGGTAGTAGTGCACACCTTTATTCCCAGCACTCAGGAGGCAGAGGCAGGTGGGTCTCTGTGTGTTCGAAAGCACCCTGATCTACAAGAGCTCTTTCCATGACAGCCTCCAAAGCCACAGAGAAACCCTGCCTCCAAAAAAAAAAAAACAGAAACCAAAAACAATAATCGATAATGGCCAGAATAATTTGTCTTAACTGGAGCCCAGCAACCCTGCCACACCACGGGATAAATAGTCCAACAGAAGGAGGACCAGAGTTGGAGAAGGAAAGAGAAGAGCCTGAAGAGAATCAGAGGAAGAGAAGAGGAATAAGAGGAGGAAAAGGAAGAAGAAGAGAGATAGAGAAGAGGACAGGAAAGGAGGAGGAGTAATAAGAAAGAAAGTGGAAGGGAGGGAGGGAGGGACGGAGGGATGGAAGGATGGAGGGATTGGAGGAGGAAGAAGAAAGAAAAGAAAGAGGGAGAAAGAGAGAGAGAGAGAGAACAGAAAGAAAAAATGAGAAGGCAGAACTATGAAGACTGTACAGGCCCTTATGAAATGAAAAAAAATCTCTTAAAGAAATCCAGGACCCATGCCAGGTGGTGGGGGTTCATTCCTTTGGTCCCAGCACTCAGGAGCCAGAGCCAAGCAGAGCTCTGTGTTTTCAGGGCCACCCTGGTCTACACAGTGAGTTCCAGAACAAGCTTTGGAAAGCTACAGAGAAACCCTGTCTTCAAAAACAAAAAAAGAAAAAGAAACAAACCCAGGACCCCTATAAACCTTCCCAACAATCCCAAACTGCAATGCCACACCACTACGCTGCCCATACAGCCCCTGGCTCTGTATCCTGGTCTACAACTTCAGAAGAACATCTCTACTATACCAGAGGCAAGGCAGGAGCTAGGAACCCTAGGTAAGCTATCAAACACTGTATTTAACACTCTGTAAACCCGGAACTCCACACTAGGGCCCACAGCATGCTCCAGTTATACAAGATGACAGAAAAGTCCTAGGGACTGCACAGAAGAAACTACACAAAACTCACTAAACCCCTTTAAGCTTGTCCAATAACCCCAGACTGTGCCAGACCCCAAATCCCAGCCTACTAAATGGAAGAAGAGTTTTGCTTTACCAGAAGCCAGGCAGGATCAAAGAAACCCAGGTAAGGCATCACTCACAGTCAGATACCACTCCTTAAAGCCTGCCTAGCAACCACAAACAACACCCCTTTCCCTGGGCTCCATACTAGGGCCCACAGTCGCAGAAGCCTTAAGGGAGGCCAGGCTGGACCTAGGAAACCTAGCTGAGACACTGCCCACTGTCCACTAATCCTCCTGAAACCTGTCCAACAAACCTAGACTGCATACACCACACCATACCACCACTCACCCATACATGGATCCATATCCTGGTCTACAGCTTTGGAAGAGGACTTCTGCTTTATCAGAGGCCAGACCAGATCTAGAGATCCAAGGTCTACAACTTTACAATTTCAGAATAATTCAACTTTTTGGAGCACAGGACAGATATAGAAACCCCAGCAATGACAGGTGTACAAGAGGCCAGGCAAGGCTTAAGAACCCCAAAGGCCAGACCAGATCTAGGAACCCCAATCTGTATCCTCTCCCCTGGGATCCATATCCTTATCTACAACTTCAGGAGAGGACTTCAGATTTACCAGAGACCAGGCTGTATCTAAAGACCCACAGCCCCCAAAACCCAGAGGAGATACCCTACTTAACATGAAGACATGCTAGTCACCAGAACCCTGAGTCCAAAAGACCAGAGAGGAAAGAGAAACCAAAGAAAAAGTACCCATCTAACAAAGACAAATACATGAATCAACACCTAGACCTAAAATCATCCCAAATCCATATGCCTAAATACCAGTGTAAGAACACAATAACAGAAAAGACAGTATGTCACCACCAGAGCCCAGCTATCCTACCACAGCAAGACCTGAACAATCCAGCACAGTTGAAGTACAAGAAAATGGCCTTAAAATTTACTTTATGAAAATGATAGAGATCCTTAAAGAATATATGAATAATTCCTTTAAAGAAATTGAGGAAAAAACAAACAAAACATTGAAAGAAATCAATAAATCCCAGAAGAAAACCAAGAAAAAACAAACAGATAAAGGAAACTGTTCAAGACCTAAAAATTAAAATAGAAGATAAAGAAAACAAACAGAGGGACTCCTGGAAATGGAAAATCTGGGTAAGCTAACAGGAACAACAGACACAAGCAACACCAACAGAACACACGAGATGCAAGAAAGAATATCAGGTGTTCATATATGATAAAGGGAATAGATTCATCAGTCAAAGAAAATGTTAACTCTAAAAAATTCCTAACATAAAACATCCATGAAATCTGGGACACTGTGAAAAAAACAAACATAAGAATAATAGTAACAGAAGAAGGAGAAGAAACCCAAGTCAAAGACCCAGAGTATATATTTAACAACAAAATAGAAGAAAATTTTCCCAACCTAAATAAGGACTTGCCTATAAAGGTACAAGAAGCTTACAGAACACCAAATAGATTGGATCAGAAAAGAAAATCCCTTGCTATGCAATAATCAAAACACTAAACATTCAGAACAAAGGATATTAAAAGCAACAAGGGAAAACGCCAAGTAATATATATATATATAGGCAGACTTATAAAGACTTCCCAACATAGACCCTGTAATACAGATGTGCATGGCTGATGTGATGCAAATGTAAGAAACCACAGATATCTGCCCCAACTACTATACCCAGCAAAACTGTCAATCACCATAAATGAAGAAAACAAGAGGTTTCAGGACAAAGTCGAATTTTAAAAATATCTATCTACAGCCTGGTGTTGGTGGTGAATGGCTTTAATCCCAGCACTTTGTAGGCAGAGGCAGGCAGGTCTCTGTGAGTTTGAGACCAGTCTGGTCTACCGAGCGAGTTCCAGGACAGGCTCCAAAGCAATACACAGCGACACTGCCTCGAAAAAACAAAAAAGGAAAAAGAAAAAAATCTATCCACAAATCCAGCCTTACAGAAGATAAACCTCTCTCCAAAGTGACTCAAAGGCAGAGAGAGAATATCCTAATCAAAAAAGGGGGGACATAATAACTGACTCAGAGAAAATATAGAGAATCATTAGGTCATACTCCAAAAAAGTGCACTCCACAAAATTGGAAAACCTAAAGAAATGGACAAATTTCTTCTCAGATACCACTTCACTAAGTTAAATCAAGATCAGATAAACAATTTAAATAAATATATAACCACTAAGGAAATAGAAGCAGTTCTTAAAAGCCTCCCAACCAAAAAAAAAGCCCAGGACCAAATAGTTTTAGTGAAAAATTCTACAAGACTTTCCAAGAAGTTCCAATATTCCTCAAATTATTCCACAGAATAGATATAGAAGTAACACTGTCAAATTCTCTCTATGAGGCTACAGACAAACTGATATCCAAGCAAAAAGGAGACTTACATACCAATTTCATTCATGCACACTGATGCAAAAATACTGGCAAACCAAATCCAAGAACACAACAAAAAGATCATCCACCATGATTAAGTAGGTTTCATTTCACAGGTACAGGGATAGTGCAACATTTGTAAATCTGTCGATGTAATCCATCCATCAACAATCTGAAAGAAAAAAACACATGATCATCTCCTTAGATGCTAAGAAAGCCTTTGATAAGTCTTGGAAAGATCAGGGATACAAGGGACATACCCAAACATAATAAAATATACAGCAAGCTAGTTGAAACATCAGATTGAATCTAGAGAAACTCAAAAGTAATTCCACTAAAATTAGGAACAAGACAAGGTTGTCCGCTTTCTCCATACCTACTAAATAAATATAGTACTTGAAGTTGTAGCTAGAACAATAAGACAACAAAAGGAAATCAAAGGAATATAAATTTGAAAGGAAGAAGTCAGCATATTATTGGCAGATGATACAACAATATACATAAGTGATCACAAAACTCTACCAGGAAATCCTACAATTAATAAACACCTTTACAGTGAAGTGGCTGGATACAAGGTTAACTCAAAAAAATCAGTATCTCTCTTATGTAAAAATGGGCTGAAAAGTAAATCAGAGAATCAACACCCTTTACCATAACCTCTAATGATGTAAAATATCTTGGTGCAACACTAACCATACAAGTGATATCAAAAATATATTTTAAGAAATCAAGAAACCAGATATCAACAAACCAAACAATCTAACTAAGAAAATGGGGTAATGATCTAAACAGAATTCTCAATAGAAGAATCTCAAATGACCATGAAATACTCAAGGAGATCCTTAACATCCTTAGCTATCAGGGAAATGCAAATCAAAAAGACCCTGAGATTCTATCTGAAACCTGTCAGAATGGCTAAGATCAAAAACATAAGCGACAGCTCATGCTGGACAGGATGTGGAGCAAGGAGAAAAATCCTCCATTTCTGGTGGGAGTACAAACTTACACAGCCACTGGAAATCAGTGTGGTGGTTTCTCAGAAAACTTGCATATCAACATACCACAAGACCCAGCTATACCAGCATTAGACATATACCCAAGGGTGCTCAATCTTATCAAAAGGACATGTGCTCAACTATATTCACAGCAGCATTATTCATAATAGCAGACCCTAGTAACAACCTAGATGTCCCTCAACCAAGGAATGGATAAAAAAATGTACATTTACACAAATGGAGTATTACTCCACTATTAAATGCAAAGACACCAGGAAATTTGAAGGCAAATGGATGGAACCAGAAAAAAATCATTTTGAGTAAGGTAACTGAGACCCCCCAAAAAAACATGGTATATACTCACTCATATATGCTCACTTGTGAGTGAATATTAGCTGTAAAATAAAGGGTAACTATGCTACCATTTGCAGACCCAGAGAGACTAGATTGGTGCCTGGCCCAATTGTCATCAGAGAGGCATCATTCAGCAACTGAAGGAGACTGATACAGACCCACAGCAAAACATTAGCTAGAGTCTGGGAATCCTAGGGAGGAAGAGAAAGAAGTGTAAGTGCCAACAGAATCCAGAACACCATGGAAAGATTCATGCAATCAACTAACCTAGGCTCAAAGGGGCTCACAGAGACTGAAATAACAGCCAGGGAGTCTGCACGACTGAGATCACCCTCAAAGGCTAGTCAGCAAGTAAGGTTATGACAGTGTATTGGAAAAGGGTACCAAGTTAGGGGTGCCAGGTTAAATCTCCAGGCTTTCGCCAAACACCAAGGTCGGGAAAGAAAGGGGAACCTGCGAGATCTCCCTTGGTTGGAGGGTGGATTGAAAATGGGTGAATGGAAAATGGGTAACAGTTAGTAAATGAGGTACTAGTATTAAGTGAAAAAAAAGGAAAAGGTAAAAGTATATGGAATGGAAAATACACAGAGTCTGGATACTGTGTGCTGTTATGTTGTCTTTGTTTAATTGCTAAGGAAGGATCAAAAACTGCTAAAAGACATTTGATTTTCAATGCTGCTGAATTATTCCAACTTATATATTTTGAAAATGCTTTCACTTCTAAATTTAAATACAAGGACAGGTTACTTGGGAAAAGAATTTCTGCTTTTGTTTCCACAGAAAATAGAAAGCTATGGGCTCCTTCCAGAATAGTATGGTTTGATGAAGCAAGACCACCTGAAACAGTGACCCAGGTGATCTAACATCTAAAATAGCTGAGATAATGCAGTCTTGCAGACCACAAAAGCATGGACTTCACCAGGTTTCTGTTTTTCTGTCATGATCCCCATGGTATTTCAGGGCCCCCTAACAGCAGGAAGTAGTTTGGAAAGAATGACACCCACATTCCCAAGTATTGTTTATAAATGTTTGTTTGCATTTATACAAGGTTAGTTATTGATAAAAATTTAAGGTCGATTTGGTCAAAAGCCTGGCTTCTCCACCCTGCATCTACAGAATTAAAAGGAGCGGGTATGACTGTAGCCCGAATGTAGCTCAGAACTTTTCAAATGGAGGGATGATGACGGGCACAGTGGACTTTTTCAACCTTTTGTTTTAATTAAAGGATTGGCTAGATTTGTTCTGTCACAAGAGATTTCGATTAAGGAAGTTTCATTTCCACATACTAATCATGACCTAGGGGAAAAGGATGACTAAAAGATGTCTGTATGTTACCTGTGTATGGTGTGGCCATACCAGCACATATGAAATATGATTGTGAATGCATGAATGTGAACTACTTGAATTGCTTTGGATATGATTAAAAGGATACTTAAACTTCTTTGGATATAGTTAAGAAGCTACCTAAACTCCTTTGGATATAGTCAAAAAGAACATCCAGCCAGTCAATGTCTTAACAGGAAACGTTGACGATTTGAGTCCTCAGAGCCAGTCAATGGAAAATAACAATAGTCTGCAACATAACCTAAAACCAAAGAAATCTGTATGGATGATTCCATAGAGTTTAACAGAGGAGAGGATACAGAAAGTCTCCTAAATTTTTATGGTTGGAAAAAGAAATCTAGAGAAAAAAAGTTTTTGAGAAGAAACCTCAGGGAAACTGCTGCCCTGTTAGACCCCACCTACAAAGGAGTCAGTGTAGATACAAATTAGGCCATGTCAGCTAAGATACAAACGAGGCCTTGTCAGCTAATGAGAGCTTTACAAATTGAATTATAGATTGGATTAGAATAAGAGTACTCACAAACTTCAAGTGATTTTCAAAAGGTATTTGGGACATATGTTATAGCCTAAAGAAATTAAGCCTCAAAAATTAGAAAGGATAGTTTGCAATCTTTGAGTGATTTTTCAGAAGTTGTTTGGAAATAGTCAATGGTTACCTCCTTTTTTAAGGGCATCTCCTGGTGATTTAAAACCTCTAAATGAGATTCTAAAAGGAAATAGTGATACCAGCTCACCTAGACAGTTAACTAGAGAGGCTAGACAAGTTCTTCTCATGTTAGAGTGTACTCCATCATCAACACATGTTACAAAACCATGAGAAGTTTATGCTGTCTCCTCACCCAAGGTGTTAAATTCTTATTTTGAAGAAGTAGTATACGTAATACAGAAGTGCCATATGGAATCTAGGAGATATTTTGGCAGAGAACCAAGTATGATACATGTTCCTTATATGCAACAATTTGATTGGTTGTTTCAAAACAGTGAATCACGGGAAAATGCTTTTGCTCAACTTTCAAAGAGAATTGATAATCAGTTTCTAGCTCACAGACTGTTACAATTCACACTAACACATACTTTTGTATTCCCAAAATTGTAAAGAGCAGTCCTGTAAAAAAAAATGCTGTTAGTTTTTACTGATGGTTCCAATAATGGAAGAGCAGCTTACGTTAAAATACATGGAGCAAACAACTCCAGCTTCAACTCAGATAGTCAAGTTACGAGCTGTCGCCATGATTTTTCAACTTCTAGTAAATGATTCATTTAATTTGTGTACTGATAATCATTATGTTTTAAAGCTCTTCAAGTAACACTGAAGCTCCCACCCCAGCAGGAGCCAGCCCACCCAGAGATTGCCAGCATCCAAGTCCCTAACCCTAACCCCAATGCCGCAGACTTGTTTGTGGTGCAGGCGTCAGACCCAACAGCTAGAGAGCCTACGTGAGTCTGACCGAGGCCCTGTACATATGTGTAACAGCTCTGTCGAGCGTGGTCTACTTGTGGGTCTCCTAGCAGTGGCTCAGGGCCTGTCCCTAACACTTGGGATGGTTTGGGGGAACTCATTCAGCAAACTGGGTTGCCTCACCCAGCCTCAATACAAAGTGGGGAGCTTAGTTGTACCTCAACTTGATATACCATGCTTTGTGGACAGCCATGAGAGGCCTGCCCCTTTCTAAACAGAAACAGAGTCTGAGTGGATTTTGGAGAGGGGACAGCGTGGAGGTGGGGTAATGGAAGAAGAGGAGGGAGAGGAAACTGTGGTTGGGGTGTAAAATAAATGAAAAAATAATAAAAAGAAAAAATCTCCCAACTAAAAATACCCAAGACAAGATGGATAAAGCATAGAATTTGATCAGACTTTCAAAGATCTAGTAACAATACTCCTTGAGTAATTCTGTAAAATATAAAAGGAAGAAAAACTTCCAAACTGTTTACTAAGTCAGTACTTTGATACCAAAACCAAATAAAGTCCCAACAATAACAAAAAACAAAAAGAATTACAAGCCAATGTGACAATGGAAATAAGGCTATCTGAAAAAGGAGGTCCAATGTATTTATTGAATATAGAATTTGCTTACAGGGAGACAGGAGCTCTAGGAACGTGGCTAGCTTCCAAGAGACAGGGCTTTTGCTTTCTGTTGCCCTTATGTCCTCACCTGTCCCGCATACCCGTCTATGCCATTTTGGGGCATGGACAGTATTGTGGGCTTACCCCTACACCAATGATTAATACAGACTTGAAAACTCTACAAAAACACTTACAACCCAAATGGGTGAACACTGTAGAAAGATCATTCAACATGATCAAGCTGGCTTCTCCCCAGGAATACAGGGTTAGTTCCACACATTTAAATAAAAAAATGTAATTCAGGTCTTGAGAGAGGCCTCAGGGGTTAAGAGCATGTGCTGTTCTTCCAAAGGACCTGACTTCTGTTTTCAGTAGCACGTCAGGTTGCTCACATCCAGCTGTCACTCGAGTTCCAGGGGATCCTCTGGCCTCCTAAGGCACCTGCACACACAAGCACATACTAACACACATAAATGTATGGTATATATAATTTAAAAATAATAAAAACAATTTTAAAATAAGCAAATGTAATTCACTACATAAGTGAGTTCAACAACATAATCCACATGATGATTTTACTTGATGCAGAAATTCCAGAGAATCATCAGGTCATAATTTGAAAACCTGTACTCCATGCAATTTGAAAATCTAAAGGAAATAGACAATTTTCTGGATAGAAATCACTTACCAAAATTAAATCAAGAACAGATAAGCAATGTAAATAGACCTATAACATCTAAGGAAAAAGAAGCATTCATCAAAAGTCTCCCAAACAAAAAAAGCCCAGGCCCAGATGGCTTCAGTGCAGAATTCTACCAGAAATTCAAAGAAGAGCTAATTCCAATACTCCTCAAAGTATTCCACACAATAGAAGCAGGAGGCTCACTGCCAAACTCTTCCTACGAGGCTACAATTACCTTGATGCCCAAGCCACACAAAGACACAACTAAAAAGAGAACTATAGACCAATATCCCTCATGAACATCCATGCAAAAATACACAATAAAATACTCACAAACCGGATTCAAGAACACATCAGAAAAATCATCCACCATGATCAAGTAGGTTTCATCCCAGGAATGCAGGGATGGTTCAACATTAGAAAATCTATCAATGTAATCCACCATATTAACAAACTGCGAAAGAAAAGCCACATGATCATCTCACTAGATGCTGAAAAAGCCTTTGACAAAATCTAGCACCCCTTCATGATAAAGGTCCTAGAGAGATCAGGGATAACAGGAACGTACCTGAATATAATAAAAGCAATATACAGTAAACCAACAGCTAACATCAAACTAAATGGACAGAAACTCAAAGCAATTCCTCTAAAATCAGGAACAAGACAAGGCTGTCCACTCTCTCCATATCTCTTCAATATTGTACTTGAAGTTCTAGCTACAGCAATAAGACAACAAAAGGAGATCAAGGGGATACAAATAGGAAAGGAAGAAGTCAAACTTTCACTATTTGCAGATGATATGATAGTTTACATAAGTGACCCAAAAACTCCACAAGGTTACTCCTAGAGCTGATAAACACCTTCAGCAAAGTGGCAGGATACAAGGTCAACTCAAGAAAATCAGTAGCCCTACTATATACAGATGATAGAAGTGACTGAGAAAGAAATCAGAGAAACATCACCCTTTACAATAGCCACAAACAACATCAAACATCTTGGGGATAATGCTAACCAAACAAGTGAAAGACCTGTATAGCAAGAACTTTGTGTCTTTAAGGAAAGAAATCAAAGAAGATACTAGAAAATGGAAAGATCTCCCATGCTCTTGGATTGGTAGGATCAACATAGTAAAAATGGCAGTCTTACCAAAAGCAGTCTACAGATTTAATGCAATCCCTATCAAAATTCGAGCACAATTCTTCACAGAACTTGGAAAGAACAATAATCAACTTTGTATGGAAAAACAAAAGGCCCAGGATAGCCAAAACAACCTTATTCAATAAAGCAACATTCAGGAGGCATCACCATACCTGACTTCAAGCTCTATTATAGAGCTATAGTCCTGAAAACAGCTTGGTATTGGCACTAAAATAGGCAGGTAGACCAATGGAGTCTGAATTGAACAGCCCTGATTTTAACCCACACACGTATGAACATCTGATTTTCGACAAAGAAGCTAAAACTATACAATGGAAAAAAGAAAGCATCTTCAACAAATGGTGCTGACATAACTGGATACTGGTCATGTAGAAGACTGCAGATAGATCCATGTTTATCGCCATGCACAAAACTTAAGTCCAAATGGATCAAAGATCTCAGCATAAATCCAGCCACACTGAACCTGTTAGAATAGAAAGTGGGAGATACTCTTGAACGAGTTGGTACAGGAGACCAGCTTCCTAAACATAACACCAGTGGCACAGGCACTGAGATCGACAATTAATAAATGGGACCTCCTGAAACTAAGAAGCTTCTGTAAGGCAAAGGACACAGTCAACAAGACAAAAAGGCAGGCCACAGAATGGGAAAAGATATTCACTAACCCTACATTTGACAGAGGGCTAATCTCCAAAATTTACAAAGAACTCAAGAAACAAGTCTCCAAAACACCAAAGGATCCAATTCAAAGGTGGGGTACAGAGCTAAATAGAGAATTCTCAATAGAGGAGGCTAAAATGACCAAGAGACACTTAAGAAAGTGCTCAACATCCTTAGCCATCAGGGAAATGCAAATCAAAGCAACTCTGAGATACCATCTTACTCCTGTCAGAATGGCTAAAATCAAAAACACCGAAGACAATTTATGCTGGAGAGGATGTGGAGAGAGAGGAACACTCCTCCACTGCTGGTGGGAGTGCCAACTCATACAGCCTCTTTGGAAATCAGTATGGAGATTCCTCAGGAAAATGGGAATTAATATACCACTAGACCCAGCAATTCCACTCTTAGGCATATATCACAAAATGAGGCACATTCATACAACAAGGACATCTGCTCCACTATGTTCATAGCAGCATTATTTGTAATAGCCAGAACCTAGAAGCAACCTAGATGCCCTTCAACTGAAGAGTGGATAGAGAAAATGTGGTACATTTACACAATGGAGTACTATTCAGCGGGGAAAAAAACCAATGGAATCTTGAAATTTGCAGGCAAATGGAAGGCACTAGAAGAAACCATCCTGAGTGAGGTAACCCAGTCACAAAAAGGGAAACATGGTATGTACTCACTCATTTATGGATTTTAGACATGAATCAGAGGAGTGCCAGCATACAATCCCACTGCCAGAGTCTAGGAAACAGAACCTTCATAGAGCGACTGATGAAAGCATAGGCAGATACCCACAGACAAGCGCTGAACTGAACTCCTGGAATCCAATGTCAGAAAGAGAGAACTGATGGGCAAAGGAGTTAAGAGTGGGCTGGTTTAACCCACAGAAACAGCTGACCTGAACAAGGGGGAGCTCTTGGGCTCCAGATTGATGGCTGTATGGAAAGCATGGGACTGACCCAGAACCCTTGAATGTGGGTATCAGTGAGGCAGCCTAGGTAATCTGTGGGGCCTTGGGTAGTATTTACCCCTGGCATACAAACAGACTTTGAGTGCCCATGCCACAATATGGGAGGCTCTTTCAGCTGGGACTCTTGGGGAGGGCCTAGGCCCTGCCCTGGATGAAATAACAGTTATTGGAGATCCACCATGGAGTGCCTCACCCTCCTTGGGGATCGGACTGAAGATTAGGTGGGGGACTGGGGAACCTGGTGTGGAAGGAGGGGGGAGGAGGGCAGGGAGAGGGAGCTGGGGTTGACATGTAAAACAAGATTGTTTCTAACCTAAATAATTTTTTTAAAAAGGAAAAAAACTATTAAGGCATCACCATTCCTGATTTCAAATTATATTACAAAGCTGTAGTAGCAAAAAACAGCATGGTATTCACAAACACACAAAAATAAAATAAAATCATGTAGATCAATGGAATAAAATCAAATATCCCAGTTCATGCACCAACAACCACCTGATTTTTTTTGCAAAGATGCCTAAATACAAAAAGACATCATTTTTTATATAAACGATGCTTTGAGACACAGATATCTATGTAGAGGTATCTAAAAATAGAAGAATGAAACTTGATCCTTCTCTCTTATTTGTTCAAAAATCCATTCCAACTAAATCAAACATCTCAGTGTTAGGCCTGAACTCTGAACATTAGAGAAAATGGAGTGCACGTCAGCATATAGTTCAGGTGTGGATTTTTCTGAACAGGACCCTGGTGCCCAGCAAACAGGGCCAACAATCAGCAAGTAGAACGTCATGAAATTAAGAGGCTTCTGTACTACAAAGGAAACTTTTCATCAACTGCAGAGGCTGAGCACAGAATAGGAAAAATCACTGCCAGATACACATCCTACAGAGGGTTAATATAGAGAATATTAAAAAAAAAACTAAAAAAAACCACCCACGACACAAATAAAAACTGAGCTATGAAACTTGACAGAGTTCTCCAAGAAAAGATAATAAATGGCTAAGAAATGTTTTTAAAATGTTAATCACTCTTAGCCATCAAGGAAATGTAAACTAAAATATAAGACTACTTTTGAGATTTCATCTTACCCTAGTCAGAATAGCTAAAATTAACAAATGACAGCATGTGCTGACAAGAACATGGGGAAAGGGAAAAACATCATACACTTTTGGTGATAGTGAAAATTGATATAGCCACTATGGAAATCAGCATGGCAGTTTCTCACAACACTACAGATATATCTAATGTATGATCCAGCTAACATACACCCAAGGGATTCTATATCCTACAACAGAAGTAAATGATCTTTTATGTTCATTGCTGTTTGGATGTGTATCAACTGATGAATGGCTAATGAAAATTTGGTATATATACACAATGAAATTTTATTTATGTAAAGTAACATGAGATGGTGAAATTTTCAGGTCAATTGGTACAACTGTGTCCTAGTTATGTTTCTATTGCTGTAAAGAGACACCAGGCATTAGAAGTTAATCATAAAAATCTAAAGATTTGATGATGAGATCCACATAAGACAATGTGCAGCATTTATCTTAAGTTTGTGTTACTTTACTCAGCATGTTTTCCAATTTCGGAAGAAAAAGGCCCCCAAAGAGAGGGCATTATTTGGAGGTGTGGCTTTACTGGAGTGGGTATGGCTTTAGAGGAAGTGTGTCACAAAGCTTCTCCTATTGCATCATGCATGGTTGAGGTAACGGTAATCCAGCGTAGGGAACAGGTTCACAGATCCATATGGCATTTTTCAAACATTATTAGTGTACATTGTTACCTCCCAAAGTTCAAGCCCATGGGAGGCCTGCCCCTTTCTGAATGGAGACAGAGGAGGAGGAGTAGATGAGGAAGTGGGTAGATGGGAGGTGGGGAGGAGAACCGGAGGATGAGGGGAAACTCAGGTGGTCAGTATGTAAAATAAATGAAAATGTTAATTAAATAAAAAATTTAAAAAGAATCACTGTTAGCTATAAAGACTATAAACCAAATTGTTTAGTCTTAAAAATAAACATAATTTTAAAATAAAGAAAAATATGTAAAAAGAAAAGTCATATAGATATCTATTATTTCCTAGGCTTCTTAAATTTATACATACATACATACATACATACAAAGACACAAATATATACAAATGTATCAACTGACTTTCACAGTAGATAATACTCTTGCAGAAGTCATAGGATACCAACAAGATACCAGTATGAGGTATAGAATATCTCACCTCAAGTTGTTGGTCACGGGAGTGTCATAGAGATGACAAAAAATATACAGGATATTGTTTTTCCTCTTGGGCGACCACTATTAACTTGATAATAAAATGTTATTATTGTTGAAGATACAACACATCTTAGTTGCAGGGCATGAAGAAACTAAGTTGATACTAACCAGGAAGCTTCCTTCTTCCTGGCTAGCTCTCACAGTATTGGAAAGTTATATGTAGGCTATGTAAGGGGAAATATCATCAATATTCTTACCCATTTATGAGCCCAGTAAACTACAATAATTACCACAATGGAAAGATATGCCCACAGGTGCAATAGTGGCACGAATGTTATGGAGACAGCCATCGGCTATTTGGATTCAAGGTCAGTTCCACAGTAAGGAATGAGTAACTAATAAATCTGCCAAAAACTCTTTAGCCATGAAGCTCCTAAATTCCAGGGGTGAGCCTATTGCTATTTTGAAATGGACATGGTATGAAATGCCCTATAAATTCACATCTCTATACTCATAGATTAATGCAGCTCTCAGAGCGCACCAGAAAGTTTCCGTATGCAGTGGACACAGGTTAACACAAACACACAACTGATCAAAGTACAGACAATTAGAGTCTGTGGAATGTTGGCTCACAAATGGGGCATATGTATTACAGACACCCTCTCCCTTCAAGGATCAGGGGGTCATTACAAAAGAGGGAGTAAGAACTGTAAAGGCTGTAAAGTCAAAAGTCAAGGAAGACCACCTGAGAGAATCTCAGGTGTTGAAGACTCATTAGAGGATATAGAGTCATCAACCAAAGAAAATCTCAAAACCAACAAATCCTTAACACAAAATATCCAGGAAATATGGGACACCGTGAGTGTGGGAGGAGGGGAGGGAGAGGGAACTGGGATTGACATGTAAAACAAGGTATTTAAAATTAAAATAAAAAAAGAGAGAGAAAAAAAGAATGAGGACCTGGGTTCAATGACCAGAACCCACATAAAAAGTCAGGCATAGTGCACATTTGTAATCCCATTGCTGGGAAGGGGGAGACAGACAGACCCCAGAATACCCTAGTCAGTCAATCTAGCCTACATAGGTGATCCCCAAGGCAAAGAGAGAAACCCTCTCTCAAAATAAACTGAGCAACACTCCTGAGGAATGAAATCCAAAGTTGTCCTCTGGTCGTCACTTGCATCTGCATACATATGAACACAACACCCTCTGCGCTTGCACTCACACTAAAAACTGAATTATAAATTTTTTATCATTTTTATTTTAATTTTAAATAGCTTGTTTTACATGTCAATCCCAGTTCCCTCTCCCTCCCCTCCTCCCGCACTCCCCTTCCTCCTCACCCTCCCACCCTATTGCCAAATCCTTCCACATAGGGGATATCTAGAGTCTGTCATTTTACTCTGGGTAGGGTCCAGGCACTCCCTTAAGAGTCCAGGCTGAGAGAGCATCCCTCTTTGTGCTATAGGCACACGAAGACTGTTTGTATACCAGGGATAGACACTGATCCACAGCTCAGGGCCCCATAGGTTGCCCAGGCCTTCTCGCTGACACTCACATTTGGGGGTCCAGATCAGTCCCATGCTGGCCTCCCCACTGTTGGTCTGGGGTCCAAGAACTCTCCCCTGTTCAGATCAGCTGTCTCTGCTGGTTTTGCCAGCCCATTCTTTGCCAATTTGCTCATCACTCCTCTCTCTCTGTCACTGGGTTCCTTAGGTTCAGTTCAGTGATTAATTGTGTTTGCCTCTGCTTCCATCAGTCACAGGATGAAGGCTCCCGGATGGTTATAGACATCAAGTTCATTATCAGGAATGGGCATTCGAGGTGGTCTCTCCACTATTGCTTAGCTTGTCAACTGGTGTTATCCCTTTAGATCACTCGAGGTCGCTCTGGTACCTGATCTGTATTCGATCCTATGATTCCCTCTTCCCCCTATTCTACCCCCACCCCCTCAGCTTCCTGTTCCCCCATGACCAACTCTCTTCCTCTTCTCCCCTCTCTTCTTCCCAGTTCCCACTCCCCCCACCCCTCGCCGTGTTCCCCATCCATTCAGGGGATCTTGTCTCAATCCTCTTCTCTTGGGTACTATGCATATATGCATATCTTTTAGGTTCTTTCCTGTTTCCCAGACTCTCTATCAGTGGAAGTGCAGACTGGCACTATCCTGATCCATGTCTAAAATCCATTTATGAGTGAGTACATACCATGTTTGTCTTTTTGCGACTGGGTTACCTCACTCAGGATGGTTTCTTCCAGTGCTATCCATTTCCCTGCGAATTTCAAGATTCCATTGTATTTTTCTGCTGAGTAATACTCCATTGTGTAAATGTACCACATTTTCTCTATCCACTCTTCAGTTGAGGGGCATCTAGGTTGCTTCCAGGTTCTGGCTATTACAAATAATGCTGCTATGAACATAGTGGAGCAGATGCCCTTGTTGTATGAACTTGCCTCATTTGGATATATGCCTAAGAGTGGAATTGCTGGGTCTAGTGGTAGATTAATTCCCATTTTCCTGAGGAATCTCCATACTGATTTCCAAAGAGGCTGTATGAGTCGGCACTCCCACCAGCAGTGGAGGAGTGTTCCTCTCTCTCCACATCCTCTCCAGCATAAATTGTCTTCGGTGTTTTTGATTTTAGCCATTCTGACAGGAGTAAGATGGTATCTCAGAGTTGTTTTGATTTGCATTTCCCTGATGGCTAAGGATGTTGAGCACTTTCTTAAGTGTCTCTTGGCCATTTTAGCCTCCTCTACTGAGAATTCTCTATTTAGCTCTGTACCCCACCTTTTAATTGGATCCTTTGGTGTTTTGGAGAATTGTTTCTTGAGTTCTTTGTAAATTTTGGAGATTAGCCCTCTGTCAGATGTAGGGTTAGTGAATATCTTTTCCCATTCTGTGGCCTGCCTTTTTGTCTTTTTGACTGTGTCCTTTGCCTTACAGAAGCTTTTTAGTTTCAGAAGGTCCCATTTGTTAATTGTCGATCTCAGTGCCTGTGCCACTGGTGTTATGTTTAGGAAGTCGTCTCCTGTACCAACTCGTTGAAGAGTATCTCCCACTTTCTCTTCTAAAAGTTTCAGTGTGGCTGGATTTATGTTGAGATCTTTGATCCATTTGGACTTAAGTTTTGTACAAGGCGATAAACATGGATCTATCTGCAGTCTTCTGCATACCAGTACCCAGTTATGCCAGCACCATTTGTTGAAGATGCTTTCTTTTTTCCATTGTACAGTTTTAGTTTCTTTGTCAAAAATCAAGTGTTCATAGGTGTGTGGGTTAAAATTAGAGCTTTCGATTCGGTTCCATTGGTCTACCTGCCTATTTTTGTGCCAATACCAAGCTGTTTTCAGGACTATAGCTCTATAATAGAGCTTGAAGTCAGGTATGGTGATGCCTCCTGAAGTTCCTTTATTGTATAGGGATGTTTTAACTATCCTGGGCCTTTTGTTTTTCCATATAAAGTTGATTAATGTTCTTTCCAGTTCCTTGAAGAATTGTGATGGAATTTTGATAGGGATTGCATTGAATCTGTAGACTGCTTTTGGCAAGATTGCCATTTTTATTATGTTGATCCTACCAATCCAAGAGCATGGGGGATCTTTCCATTTTCTGGTATCTTCTTTGATTTCTTTCTTTAAAGACACAAAGTTCTTGATATACAGGTCTTTAATTTCCTTGGTTTACATTATCCTCAGATATTTGATGCTGTTTTTGGCTATTGTAAAGGGTGATGTTTCTCTGATTTCTTTCTCAGTCACTTCATCATCTGTATATAATAGGGCCACTGATATTTTTGAGTTTACCTTGTATCCTGCCTCATTGCTGAAGGTGTTTATCAGCTCTAGGAGTAACCTTGCGGAGTTTTTTGGGTCACTTATGTAAACTATCATATCATCTGCAAATAGTGAAAGTTTGACTTCTTCTTTTCCTATTTGTATCCCCTTTATCTCCTTTTGTTGTCTTATTGCTGTAGCTAGAACTTCAAGTACAATATTGAAGAGATATGGAGAGAGTGGACGGCCTTGTCTTGTTCCTGATTTTAGAAGAATTGCTTTGAGTTTCTCTCCATTTAGTTTGATGTTAGCTGTTGGTGTACTTTATATTGCTTTTATTATATTCAGGTATGTTCCTGTTATCCCTGAATTATAAATTTTTAAACAGTAAAAATTAGTGAGATTTAAGGAAGGTATAAGCTACTCTAGAAAGCAGTCTGTGACACCATTCCTCCACAGAATAAGTGCCCCTTTGTAAGCCCAGAAATCCCAGAGCTATATCTGGAAATCTCCATACAGCATTAAACATTGAATGCAGTATGGAGATCTCTTTAAACATTTAAACATTGATCTCTTTAAACATTGAAATTTTTCAAAATGTGGGCCATACAAGTATAAGAACTATTTTAATTTTTCTTTATGTTGCCAAAACTAGATACAAAACATGTCTTTATCACTACCAACTAGCATACAACCATCAACAGATGACTTGCACTAATATCATAATGACCTAATTTCAGTAAGTCAAACAGAAACCCATTCTAAAACAATGCCAAGTTAGGCAAAACTTCAAAGGCTATGGTTGGGGACTAGAGAGATGCTCAGAGGTTAAGAGCACTGGCTGCTCATCCAGAGGCCGAGTTCAGTTCCCAGGAACCACATGATGGATCATAACTATCCGTAATGAGATCTGGTGCCCTCTTCTGGCCTGCAGGGATACATGTAGACATAATACTGTGTACATAATAAATGGATAGATAGATACATACATACATACATTCATAATTTCAAAAAAGGACTATAACTGAGTTTCATGCATAATCAAAACATTTTTATTTTTTACAATCCAAATACAAAGATGCAATTAACTATTTCCAAAACATTTACACACATTTTTGTATACCAAAGAAACAGAACATTTTTAAAGGGACAAGTATGGCAACAATAGAAGACTAATTTGTCAAGTCGAGGGTTGGCTTCACCACTTCTTGTCTTTCTTTATATCTATCTAAGCTCTCCATCTTTGATTCATCTTCTTTGTTTTGCTGAGCATACTCAGTCTCTTTTTCTGGGTTTGGAATTGACTTCCCCTTTAGAAGCAAGAAACATTCAGCATTCAAAACTTTCTCAGCAGTCATTGAACTTCTGGAATATATCAAGCTACAGAGGAGGGATTTGACATTATCATCCTGCAAGAAAAGAGAAATAATTTTTTTAAAGAATCAAAACCAAAACTAATGGTAAATAAGAACAGATATATAATAGACTATTCAATTGTTAAAAACCTCTTTTAGTTACTGACATATTTTTCTATTTAGATTCTTAGAGATTCCTTCCAAGTTCAGCTACATTTCATTGAAAAGAGATATATCTCCAGTAGTAACAAATTAGAATTTATTTACCAGGGAGAATTATAGCTAAACTAAAATGAATGAAATTTGAACACCATTTTCCTTCTTTAATGGGACAGTGGTCAGAGTTTCACATGAAAAATTTCATACCTCTACTATCTAACATTTTATGGGAAACACAACCACTTAAGAAAAAATTTTAAAAATAATATTAACAAATAGAAAGGGGAAGAAGTAAAACCATCTTTATTTGGAAATGGTACAGAGCTATGTTAAATCATTAAGAAACCCACTAAAAATTATTAGAACTAATAGTTAAGAATAAAGAAACAAAATAGTTACAAATCATGTATTTTGAAGACTACAAGATATAGGTGAGCTTGCCAGACCTCATGGTATGTACTCACTCATATATGGATTTTAGACATGGATCAGGATAGTGCCAGTCTGTACTTCCACTGACAGAGAGTCTGGGAAACAGGAAAGAACCTAAAAGATATGCATGGTACCCAAGAGAAGCGGAATGGGGCAAGATCCTCTGAACAGATGGGGAACATGGCAAGGGGTGGGGGGAATGGGAGCTGGGAAGAAGAGAAGGGGAGAAGAGGAAGAGAGAGTAGGTCATGGGGGAACAGGAAGGTTGAGTGGGGGGGAGAATAGGGGGAAGAGGGAATCATAGGTTAGAAGACAGATCAGGCACCAGTGTGACCTCTAGTGATCTAAAGGGATGACACTGATTGGCAAGCTAAGCAATAGTGGAGAGACCACCTCAAATGCCCATTCCTGGAGCCTTCATCCAGTGACTGATGGAAGCAGAGGCAAACACCCACAGTTAAACACTGAACTGAACCCAAGGAACCCAGTGACAGAGAGAGAGGAGCGACGAGCAAATTGGCAAAGAATGGGCTGGCAAAACCAGCAGAGACAGCTGATTGAACAGGGAAGTGCTCTTGGACCCCAGACCGACAGCTGGGAGGCCAGCATGGGACTGATCCAGACCCCCCGAATGTGAGTGTCAGTGAGGAGGCCTGGACAACCTATGGGGCCCTGAGCAGTGAACCAGTGTTTATACCTGGAATACAAACAGACATCGTGTGTCCATAACACAAAGAGGGATGCTCTCTCAGCCTGGACTCTTAGGAGAGTGCCTGGACCCTACCCTGAGTGAAATGACAGACTCTAGATATCCCCTATGTGGAAGGATTTGGCAATAGGGTGGGAGGCTGGGGGTGTGGGAGGAGGGAGGGAAAGGGAACTGGGATTGACATGTAAAACAAGCTATTTAAAATTAAAAGAAAAAAGATATAGTTGAAGGAAATCAAAGGTATAAATAAATTAACATCCAATATTTAATGGTTCATAAAACAACACTGATAACCAGCCATAGAGCGAAAACAGTCCTATTAGATAAACCAACTTCTTTGTAGACATTGTAAGCTACCTCTGAACTTTACAGATCAGAATAATAATCTTGACCCTATTTAAAAAGAACAAAGTATAACAATTCACATTTCCCAATTTCAAATCTCTATAGCAATAATTAAGACAGCATAATACTGGCAAAGGAACAGACATAGTCTTGTATTTCAGCAATACATGGATTCATACTCTCATTGATGCTGGTCATCCTTAGTGATCTGCACTCTAAATCAGCATGTGATCACTAGACCAGCTTGATCAAGATAATCAAGCAATGTTCTGCAGTGCACTGTGTGCTAAGATATAAATTCTGCAGGTAATGTGGACCATATGAATTTTAAACTTACAATGGGTTTATAAAGACATAATCCTATCATAATTGAGGAGCACCTATAAGACAGTGGAAGAGAATTCAGAGTCCAGAAAGAAACCCACCCAGCTATCACCTACTGGCTTTGACAAGGATGACATGACCATTTTATGCTTACAAAGCAGTCTTCGATAAATAGTATTGGGATAGATAGCCACAGGCAGAATATTGAAGCTGGAATATTACCTCTTAAAATATATGAGAATTTAATTCAAAATATATCAAAGATCTAAATATAAAATCTTAAACTACATAACTGTAAATCTTTACAATTTTGTATTTGACAAAGAACTCTTGAAAATAATCCCCAAAGTACAAGCAACAACCGAGAAAGTTACGCTTCGTGAAAATTACAAACTCTTGTGTTTCAAATGACACTATCAAGAAAATGAGAATACCACTGACAGGATGAGGTAAAATATTTGCAAACAATGTGCCCAACATGTTGTTTGTTTCTAGAATATACAATCATCCATTAAAATTCAAAAATAAAAATGCAACCCAATTTTTAAAATGTAAAAAAAAAATTAAGAGTCTGCATAGGCATTTCTCTGAAGGCACCACAAATCTAAGTCAAGACTATAAGATGGCTAGAATCAAAGTCTTACAGCCTGTATTAATATAGGGAAGCTAGAGTTTTCACATACTGCTACTACAAATGTAAAATAACTGCTTTGCAGTCCAGTGAGTCTTCAACTGCTAAATAAACAGTTTCTACATGAATCAGTAATTCTACTGCTAGGTATACATCCAATAGAAATTAAACATGTCTGCTCAAATGTCTATATACAAATATTTGTATCACTTTCTATAATAACCAAAAGGCACATATAACCCAGACATCCATAAATAAATATGTATCCGTAAATTGTGGTAAATCTATCACTAGAATATTACTTATCCATGAAAGGGATGAAATACTAGTACTAGAATTTGCATTCTAAGTGTAAGCAATATACACTGTTCCCATTAATTATGATTCCATTCATAAGAATGCCCACAATAGCAATTATACAGAAACAGAAAACATATTAGTGGTTGGTTAAGACTGAAGTAAAGAAATGCAAATACTGAGAGGTAGCAATACAATATATTGAGTTTCTGGTGATGCTCAGACACATGTGATTATACTAAAAACTACTAAGTTATATACTCTCAGTGGATAAACTTTAAGGTTGGTTATCTCTTTTTAAAGCCATTTTAAATTGATGCTTTACTGAAAGACATGCCATATCTGACTAAATTTGATGACTCATTAAAATTTTAAGAAAAAATTTAATTAAGAAAATTAAAATGCCAAACTATGAACAAACCACGATAAAAAGACTTCAACTGAAAATCACCTCCTGAACCTTTTGTTCTTTAAATTGCTTCTTAACACGTATTTCATCACAGCAATGAAAAAACCAAATAGAGAAAAACAGTACTGAAAGAAGGGGTCAGTGCTGTGATAAACCTGATACTGTAGTCTTGGGTCTCTGGAACTGGTTTGCAGGAAGAGTTTAGAACTTGGTATTAAAATCCCCTAAAGGGGGCTGGGGTGGTATCACACATCTTTGATCTCAGCACTCAGGAGGCAAAGGCAGGCAGATCACTGTGAGTTGAAGGCAAGCCTGGTCTACAGAGCGAGTTCTAGGACAAGCTCCAAAGCTACAGAGAAACCATGTCTTGGAAAACAAAACCCAAACAAATCCCCTAGAGTGCTGCAAGAAGGGTACACTAGGCTTCTATTGGAAGTTAAGAAGATTGCCAAAAGGAAAATGAGCAGTGGCAGTTTGGTCCATGTGGTTTCAGAGGGGAAGGGAACAGGATTCTTACTGTGAAGTGAGCTAGATGCCTGTGGTGGTTTGAAAGCAAACGACCCCCAATAGGGACTAGCACTATTAGAAGGCGTGTCTTTGTTACAGTAGGTGTGACCTTGTTGAAGGAAGTGTGTCATTGTGGGGGTCTGGCACAAAGGCCTCCTTTGTTCAAGCTGTGCCCAGTGTGGACACAGTTTCTGTTACCTGTGGATCAAGATGTACAACTCTCAGCTCCTTCTCCAGCATTCTATCTGGCTTCACGCCACATGCCATGACGATAATGAACTAAACTTCTTAAACTTAAGTCACCGTCAATTAAATGTTTTCCTTATAAGAGTTGGCATGGTCACAGTGTCTCTTCACAGCAATAGAAACCTTAACTAAGATAATGTCATCCATGTTACAATCTAGGAAAAAAAGTCTGGTACTGTCTGTCTGTATCCTGAGAGCCCAAATGTGAGGAGAACCTGAATAGATGAATGATTCACTAATGCATTGGTCATGGAAATCTCAAAACAAAGGGCGTTCAATCTGTGGAATGGCTACTGGTAACTTTTCTCATCCACATCTACAATGCAAGAGAGTAAAAAGCAAAGCAGATTTTTAAAAAACAATTGTAGTTAGTCAAGAAAAAGAGCCTGAGCAAGATTATATTACTAATTTCACTTCCTACTCCAATCCTGGTAGCCCTAGTACTTAGTTTAATTTCTGGTACCAGATAAGTGCTCAAAATAAGTTAGCTGAAAACATATGTGAATGACAAAGCCATATCAATGACAAGTATGAGTTTCAAAGAAAAGACATAATTAGGCACTTACCCAAAAAAAGAATAAAACACTCCTTTCAAAACAAAATATCGTTAGAACTCTACTATAGTATTTTCTTATTACATAGATGACTTGTTAATTATCTGACAGTAGCATAAGTAGGGTACTTCTAATGCTAGCTTAAATTTTTATAAAAATTAGAGAATATTTTCAATCAAATATTTATAAATTTATATTATTATATATCTGAAATGAGTAAAGAGCCAAAAGAAACCTACCAAATGAAACTGATCCACTTTTGGCATTCCATCTTCATTTGTCTCAAACTCCTGATTTTGAACAGAAAGCTACAAAAGAACACAAAAGTGAATTAGCTCCAAAAGCACCTAAGTCAGTGGTTCTCAGCCAGGGTCTCATATCAGATATCCTGCAGATCAGATATTGACAATTCATAATAGCAGCAAATTAGTTATGAAATAGCAACAAAATAATTTTATGGTTGGGGGTCACCACAACATGAGGAACTGTATTAAAGAATTACATCATTATGAAGGTTTAATTCGCATTAAATACTAATCCTAGAAAGTAGATTCAGGACCACTTTCAGACATAAGCAACCCACAGACCACTGGCTACATGTACCTTGGTATAACCAGGAATGAAATCCAACATTACATAGATTACCACCTCATACCACAATGCCCAAAGACTGGATACCACTAGATTCTGATGAATAGAGAAGAGCTCATAAGAAAGCACATTTCTCATGTAGGATAAAAGCACTTAGTAAAAAACTACTTGCACAAATAACCAAATAGCTCCTGAGGCACCTACAGTGTTGATTAGTTGATAGACATACCATAAACAGACACTGTTATACTTGCTTTCTAAGAAAATGTTATAGAGCTACCTCAGTGGTTAAGAACACTCACTGCTCTTCCAGGGGACCTGGGATCTATTCCTAGGACCCATATGATGGTTCGTACCATTTAAGTAAATACAGATCTTGGAAACAGTGCCCTCTTTACACACATGGTGCACACACACAAACATGCAGGCAAAACACTCACTTGAAATAAAAGGACTAAATCTACTTTTTATTGATTTTTAGTGGATTTCACACCATGCATTCCAATATAATTTATCTTCTTGCCCAGTGCATCTGCCCTCTGCTCTTGTACTGTCCCCCAAAACAAAACCAAGTTTAAAAGAAAAATAAAAAACCAACAAAGAGGCCGGGCGTTGGTGGCGCACGCCTTTAATCCCAGCACTCGGGAGGCAGAGGCAGGCGGATCTCAGTGAGTTCGAGGCCAGCCTGGTCTACAAAGTGAGTTCCAGGACAGCCTCCAAAGCCACAGAGAAACCCTGTCTCAAAAAAAAAAAAAACCAACAAATAAAAAAACAAAAATAAAAAAAGGACAACAACCTTGTGAAGGCTATAGTGTGGCCTTCATCTTTGTTTGCAAGTTTTCATTGCCCTGAGTCTTAGATCTGGCTTGAGGCCTCTGGTTTCTGCTATACCACCAATAATGGGCTCTCACTGGGGCTCCTTCCAGACATCCTGTCATTGTCCCATGTCATGGAGATCCTGCCGTTTTGGATCTCTGGGTTCATTGCCTTCACATTCTCCAACAGTTCATAGATGGGGTGGATATTGGGGTGGGCCATCTAGTAGCCCTGAGCTAGGTTGGTCAGCTCACTAGTTTTCCCTCATTGTCATTACCCAGATTAGCTCTCTAGCACTGCCTTGACTAGCTCATTAAACGCACCCTACACCAAGGAGTGGGGCCAGTTCTGCTCTCAGGCCCTCAGCCTGGGTCATCTTCACGGCTGTCACCAGGGCTAGTTCTACTGTTCTGCCCAAGCAAGATGCAAGGCCCTCTCTCCCAATTGCTGCAGGGGGCCTATCAAGGGGGTGTCAGCTCTCCTGCTCTTACACCCTCAGGGCTGGCTCACCTGCAACCCTGACAACAGGGTCAGCTCTAGTGTGCTGTCAGGGTAGGGTGCAGGGCCCACACTGCTGTGTGCTGGAGTTGCTGTAAGGCAGGGCTAGTTCTCTCACTCTTATTATCCCGGGGCCAGCTCTCCCGCCTGTCATAGATAGCAAGGGGCAGAGGGAGGAGGGCATCTTTCCTTAAGCTATGCCACCATATGGCAGACCACCCAGGGTGTGTGTGGGAGGGGTGGAGTTCAGCTCTCCTGCTCTCATCCTTAGTGTTGGGTCACTTGTGTACCCGACCCCAGGGTCAGCTCTAGTGTGCTTCCCAGGTGAGGTGCACGCTTATGGTGAGGGGTGGGACCATCCTTCCCAAGTGTGTGGACAAACTCTCCACTGGGGGGATAGGGCCAGTTTGCCTGCTGTTATATCCAGGGAGGGGCAGAACCAATCATCCCAGGGCCAGTGAAGAATGGGGCTGGCTCAGAACAGCACAGTTCCAAAGAACCCTTGCTATCATGGGCCATGGACATTACTACAATGGACATTACCCAATAACAGCAGGACCATGGGCCCAGACATGGCCCTTAGCAACAGCTTACGCACAGGCCCCTCAGATCACCACAGCCCAGCTTCAGCATGGCCCCTGGGCATCAACATGGTCCCAGTGGGCATAAATACTGGGGTTTTTTAGGTTTTTTTTGAAACAGGGTTTCTCTGTGTAGCTTTGTAGACCAGGCTGGCCTCAAACTCACAGAGGCCTCTGCCTCCTTAGTGCTGGAAGCATAACTACCTTAAAAAAAAAAAAAAGACGATATTCTAGAACTTAGTAATCTATATTAATTTGGCTTTACCAAATTTTCAAAACTTAAATGCCAAGAAAATAAAGCAAGTGAGTTTCCTTCCATTCTAACAGTTACCTTCTGACCCTGAAATATAAGATAAACTTTATTTCTCTATGTCAACTTGGTACAAGACACAGTCATCTGGGAAGGGCTCTCAATTGAGACAATACCTCCCAAAAACTTGGCCTAAAGGCAAATCTGTTGGGCATTTTCTTGATTAAAGATTGATGTTGGAGGGCCCAGCCCCTGAGGGTGGGATCAACAGTGTAGGTAGGTCTAAGAAAGCAGGCTGAGCAGGCCATGAGGAGCAATCCAGTAAGCAGCATTCCTCCATGGCCTCTGCTTCAGTTCCCACCTCCAGGGTCCTGCCCTGGTTTCTTTTGATGGATTCCTATGTGGAAGTATAACAAAATAAACCTTTTCTACCCCACATTTCGTTTCGTCATGGTATTTTATCACGACAATAGAAAACCAAGACACTATTAAATATACTAAGATTTTTACATTCACAAAGTATACTGAGTCCTGTATATTTCATCAACCAGCCCTAACAACCACCAATTAATAATTGTTCTTTTCTTATACACAAACCCACATTCCATATTTACTACTATTTTAGTGGGGATAAACAGGTACACAAGCATGGGTGTATACACATATGCAGAGACCAGAGGTCAACTTCAGCTATCCTTCCTTGAGAGTTATAGTCATTACTTTTCTATTGCTGTGATAAAACAGCATGACCAAGGCAACTTATAAAAAAACTGTTTAATTTGGGGTTCATGGCTCCAGAGGGTTAGAGTCTGTAACTATCATGGCAGCAAGCATGACAGCAGACAGGCAGGCATGGCACCAAAGTAGTAGCTGAGTGATCACAGCTCCATACATAAGAAGCACGAGGCAGAAAGAGACAACAGGAATGTATGAAACCTCAAGGTCCACCCCTAGTGATACACCTTGTCCAACAAGGACACACCTCCAAATTCTTCCCAAATAGTTCCTCCAACTAGGGAGCAAGTATTCAAACATATGAGCATATGAGGGCCATTCTCACTCAAACCACCCCGAGAGTCATCATCTACCTTGTGTTTTGACACAGGTTCTTTCATCAGCCTGAAACTCCCAGATTATGCTAGTCTAGCTCAGCGAGTCCTAAAGACCCGCCTGTTTCCACCTCCTCAGTCAGTGTTAGGATACAAGTATGCACCAAACACTTGGCTTTTTTTAACTTGGGTTCTAGGAACTGAAGTCAGAGCTTAATGCTTGCGTAGAAAGCATTTTTTCGGCCGGGCGTTGGTGGCGCACGCCTTTAATCCCAGCACTCGGGAGGCAGAGGCAGGCGGATCTCTGTGAGTTCGAGGCCAGGCTGGACCGACAGCCTCCAAAACAGAGAAACCCTGTCTCGTAAAACCAAAAAAAAAAAAAAAAAAAAAAAAAAAAAAGAAAGCATTTTTTCAACAATATCTTCCATGACTACACGTTTATTTCTTTTGAGGTAAATCCTATACAAATCATAATTTCATCTATGCATCTTTTACTACAAAAAAAAGAGATCACTGGTGGGTCTCAAGCCATGAAGCCATAAAGCCGTAAACCATGCCGCCAGGAAAGTCAAAGCCCATGTCATAGTATAATACGCTGAAACCTCACTAGCAAATACCTCTAGTCTACAAGAAGAAATTGTGAAGCACACCTGCACAGTAAGCAGAAAGGTAGAAATGTGCTCAGAGACAAAGTATCTGCAGAATATCAACATGTAGCATGCTCAGTGTTAGGAAGGACAGCCCAGGGCTGGGCCAGTAGTCAACTGCACTCCTGGACATTAAGAGAGCATGATTGCCATCTGTGACTTGACACAACCATTGCTCACCGATGGAGCAATTCTGTGACCTGACATCCTCTCCCCTTTCCTGTTTCTTTCTCCAATAATTTCTATTTCATTTTCCTTTGGAATAACTTTACCTTGGTTTACAGAGTCTATAACCTCCCAAAACCTGGAATCCATTTAGGTTGTCTGACTCTTTCTTTCTTCCCATTCTATCTTTGGCTTCTTGGTAAAGGTCTTGGAGAGATCCCGGATAACAGGAACATACCTAAACATGATAAAAGCTATATACAGCCAATCAACAGCCAACATCAAACTAAATGGACAGAAACCCAATGCAATTCTGCTAAAATCAGGAACAAGACAAGGCTGCCCCCTCTCCCCATACCTCTTCAATATTGTACTAAAAGTTGTAGCTAGAGCAATAAGACAACAAAAGGAGATCAAGGGGATACAAATTGGAAAGGAAGAGGTAAAACTTTCACTGTTTGCAGATGATATGATAGTTTACATAACTGACCCAAAGAACTCTACCAGGAAACTCTTAGATAGTAACCGAAAATTACTGTAAGTTCATAGTACATCTAGCTTTTAACAGTGATTTTTTTACAGACAGGAGTCTATTTTCAGGGGAGTACTAGAGACCAGTGACCTGAACACTACTGTAACAGTAAAATGACACTTCAACCTTTCAACAATCTCAAGCCTCTTGAACACTGTAAACACTTCCACTGAAAGACA